GTTGTTAGCCTAGTCATGTTCTGTGTTTCAACGGTTAAACCCTCTGTGCTTTGGAATGGGGAACCCTTACCTTTTTTTGATCCACAAAGAGGCTTAAGGCAGGGAGATCCATTGTCGCCTTACCTTTTCATTATGGTCATGGAAAAGCTGTCACACATGATTCTTAGCTGCCTGCAGTCTCGATCTTGGAAGCCTATTAAAATTGCAAGAGGGGGTCTTGCTTTGTCACATTTATTTTTTGCAGATGATTTGATGCTTTTTTGCGAAGCATCTCATTCTCAACTCTAAATGGTTGTGAATTGTTTAAAGGAGTTTGCTGGATACTCGGGACTGGAGATTAACTTACCAAAGTCAAAACTCTCTATATCACCCAACATTCAAGCTGCAGTAGCCAATTCCTTAAGCAGTGCTTGTGGTATCCAACTCACGTCTAACTTAGGCACATACTTGGGGGTGCCAATTATTCATGGAAGGAACTCGGCAACTACATACAGGTATATACTTGAAAGAATGCAGTTGAAACTTGCTAATTGGAAGAGAAGTTCGCTAAGTTTGGCAGGTAGGAGGACACTAATTCAGTCGGTGACTTCTTCAATTCCGGCGTATACGATGCAAACGGTCATTTTATCTCAGAGCATTTGTAGTTCAATTGACAAAATTAATAGGAATTTTCTATGGGGCTCAAATACAGGGACTCTAAAACCTCATCTTGTTAGCTGGGAAGCTGTTTGCAGAAGTCCAGAACAGGGAGGACTTGGGCTAAGAGCAGCAAGGGAAAATAACAGAGCATTGATATCTAAGTTGGGATGGAGGGTGTTAACAGGGGATGAGGCGCCCTGGTGCAAGGCAATGAGACATAAATACTTGTGCTCTTCCTCCTTTTTTAACGTCAAAGCAGGACCAGGGTCATCGGCAACCTGGCGGAGCATTCTTCAATGCAGGGATGTTATCAAAGAGGGTATGCGATGGAGAGTAGGCACGGGGGAGAACATCAATTTTTGGAAAGATAATTGGACCACAAGCTCACCTCTATATAAATTTTTGGCAAGTGCAGGTGGATTGTTGCGGGATTCTTCGGAAACCTTTATTCAAGGTTTCTCAGTGAACATTGGTCAAATCTCGGTTTTCCTGGCAGAGTTATGGGGTTGCAGGGAAGGACTGATTTTGTGTAGGAACAAAGTGATTAGTCATTTAGTAGTGGAGACGGATTCCTTGTCGGCGGTGCAGGTTATTGAAGGATCCAAGGAACAGGATAGCCTAGCAGCAGTGCTGGTGGAAGATATCCGTCGTTTGAGAGGAGGATTTATTGCCTTTAGCATACAGCATACCTACGTGAAGGTAGTCTTGCTGCAGACTATGGCTGAAATTGGGCATAATCTGCCTACTGGAACCACAGTTTTTGATTCGCCTCCACCAGAGTTTTTGATTCGCCTCCACAGTTTTTTTTGAAAATACTCCTCCACAGTTTTTTTTGAAAATACTCCTCCACAGTTTTTTTTGAAAATACTCCTCCACAGTTTTTGATTCGCCTCCCCCACAGTTTTTGATTCGCCTCCACCTGGTTCGCCTCCACCACAGTTTTTGATTCGCCTCCACCTGGTCTCATCACTTTCCTGGAAGAGATTAGTCATAATCTGCCTATTGGAACCACAGTTTTTAATTAAAAAATTATTTTAGAATAAAAAAAGTAATAAGTATGAGTAATAATAAGTAACACAAAAATTTGGGATTAATACCTTGATATATGTTATGTTATTAAATTAATTTATGTATACAATGTTATGAATTGTTAAAATATATAAAAAAAATTATTAAATAATATAAAATTTATTTTTTAATATTTTAAATAATATAATTTATTAGTCTAT